ATGTACTGACAAACCTGGTTGACTGCAAAAGCCAAATCCGGTCGTGTCCAAGATATTGAAGAGCACCAACTATTGAGCGATAAAAGGTAAGATATGTGAGAAGAGTACCAGAGTGATCCAATTTCGTGGAACTAACAGGAGTGGTGCATGGTTTTAGCCCAAGCATATCAATCTTCTTAAGTAAATCCAAGGCATATTTGGATTGATGGAGAAACAATCCTTTAGCAGATCGGTGAACTTCAATGCCTAAGAAATAATGGATATCACCTAAGTCTTTGACTGAAGCTTGGAAATAATAGATTGACAGAGTGCAGTGGAACTTCCAGTGATAATAATACCATCCACATACACTAAGATGAAAGTGATGTAAGAGTCTTTCTTGATGAAGAGACTAGTATCCGAGGAAGAATATGAGAAACCCAAAGAAACAATTGCACTGTAGAAAGCTTCATACCAAGCTGTTGGAGCCTATTTAAGACCATAGAGAGACCGTTTGAGTTTACAAACGTGGTGAGGTTTAGACTTATCCACAAAACCAGGAGGTTGAATCATATACACATCTTCTTTGAGATAGCCATGCAGAAAAGCATTACTTACATCTAACTTATGCATAAACCAATCATAACTCACAGCAATAGACAAAAGAATTCTGATGGTGGTTGGTTTTGCTACGGGGCTAAAAGTCTCAGAAAAATCCAGTCCTTCTTGTTAATGAAACCATTTGGCTACCAATCGAGCCTTGTATCTTTCTATGGAACCATCAGCTTTGTGTTTAATTTTGAATACCCATTTGCACCCAACGAGATTGTAACTTGGATGTGAAGGTACTAATTCCCAAGTATCAGTGGTTTGAAGTGCTTGATATTCATTTATCATTGCTTTCACCCAATCAGGATTTTTTTAGGCTTGAAGATAAGTAGTAGGGGTGGGAGGGATGATGGTGAGTTGATCAATAGAAGGGGAGAGATGATGCTTAGTGGCTGTAAAGATCTTAGGTTTAGAAATACTGGCTTTAGCTCGGGTAATCATAGGATGTTGGTTGACTGGAATAGTTGTAGTAGGTGGGACACAGGATGAAGAAGAGGGATGATTGAGGGGTACTGGTGATGAGACAGATATAGGTGAAGGGGAAGGATTATTTATAATGGTATGAGTGGTTGTAGTATGATGAATAGGTATAGTAAGAGAAATAGGGTGAGATAATGGAGGAGAAGAAATAGAATGAGAAGATACAGTAGGAAGAGTTAAACTTGGAGATTTCTTGAAAGGGAAAAGAGTTTCATCAAACACCACATGTCTCGAAATATATAACATGTTAGTAACCGGATCAAGACAATGGTAACCACTGTGATTCAAGCTATATGAACACATAAAGTCTACTCTTTGGATCCAACTTACTGGACGAGTAGGGTTGTAGCCATGGATAGCATGCACACCCAAAGGTCTTCAAGGTGTGATATTTAGGTGTGGCTTTGAAGAGTAATTCCCAAGGGCTAATAGAAGAAGTCTAAGGTGGTAGTCGATTGATGAGGTATACTGTAGTTTGAAAAGCCTCAATCCAGTACTGAGATGGTAAGTCACTGTGAGATAATAAAGTTCTACCCATTTCAACCACATGTCTATGTTTGTGTTTCGCTCATCCATTCTGCTCAGGAGTGTGAGGACAACTCAATTGATGAGTTATGCCTTGAATATTAAAGAAACTTTGCAAAGTAGCACTCAAGAACTCACCCCATGAATCGGACCTCAAACATTGAACTTTACTGTCAAATAGAGTTTGAACTTTGAGAACAAAAGTCTGAATAATAGAACACACATCTGATTTATAATGCCGTGGATAGAGCCAACTATATTTAGTGAAATCATCAACTAGTATTAGATAATATCGATATCCAGTACAAGAAGATGTGGGGGAAGGACCCCATACATCAGCATGAACAAGATGAAATGGCCGAGTAGAACTACAAGGCAAAACAGAAAATGGCAATCTTGAAGCCTTCCCAAATTGACAATCAGATCAAACAGACTTCTGAGAATTTGAACCAGCAATAGACAAGTGACCTTTATTCACTACTTTATTTAAAACTAGACTTAAAGGATGACCAAGCCGTATGTGCCATGTAGTGAAATCAGCTTTAGCAATCATTAAAGCAAGGTGAAATAGCAATGTCAGAAACACCATTAGAAGCATTCTGGTAGAAAGGGTACAAGTCTCCTTCACTGGGCCCCTGGAAAAGCATCATCCCAATTCTTAAATCCTTGATGTAGAATCCAAAGTGATTAAAAGTCAGCGAGCACCAGTTGTCATACACAAATTTATATACGGACAGGAGATTATGAGAGGCTTGAGGGACTAATAACACATCATGAAGTTTGAACACAGCATTAGGAGTGCGCATTAAAGCATGTCCAGTATGAGAAATACACAAACTTTTTCCATCACCAACGAAAAGTTGTTCTGTGCCCGTGTATGGTGTTGCAGAGTTTAGAGAGGCTGGATCAGGAGTGACATGATGAGTCGCTCCACTATCAGTAATCCAGTAGCTTGGAGGATGTGATCCAGTCAGAGCATTAAAACCCATTGGAGGGGAACGTTGAGAAGCAAACTGGGAGAAAGAGCCACAGTAGATAGCAGAGTGACCATATTGATTACAAAGCTGACAAGTAATGGATTGTCCAGGGTGGGATGGTCCAGGAGTGTGACTGGAATATGCTCCAGAAAATGAGGAACGAGAGGGAGCATGACCAAGAATACCTCAAGAGTTATTGTGTTGGCGATTTGCACCAAAGTTGCGATTTTGAGGAAATCGATTATGATTGTGGTATTGATTGTGATTTTGATTCTGATATTTGGCCCTGAAGTTGCCTTGGAAAGAAGTGGAACCAGATGATCATTGTTGAGCACCATAAACATGAAAGGTGCAGAACTTGAGGATGAAGAGACTCGAGTCTTGGGTTTTTTAAGAGAAATCTCCTTACTGAGTAGAAAACCATGGAGTTCATCACTATTAACAGACTTAGTTCTTATTTCGATTGAGTCAACAAAAGATTCATACTCATCCGGTAAACCAGCAAGAATATAAGCCACAAGATCTGAATCGGAAATCGATTCACCGGCAGCAGCAAGTTTATCGGAGTTGTCCTTAATAATGTTGAGATAATCAGTCAAGGAAGCATCACCTTTCTGAATAGTCTGGATTTTAGATCGGAGACTGTGAACATAAATGCGCGAAGCTCCTGCGAAACACGTTCAAGAGACTGCCACAGAGAACGAGAATCTTCCATTCTAATAGTCAGAGGAAGAAGATCTTCAGCAAGAGTGGAGTTGATCCAGATTATCAAGATTTGATCACGTTCACACCACAATTCGTACACAGAATTAAGGATTTGAGATCCAGACGAATCACGAACAAACGGAGGATGACAAGGACCATTGCCAGTAAGAAGCCCCAAAAGCTTGAATCACTTCAGAACGGGAAGGAATAAGCTACGCCAGGTGATGTAATTGTGCCAATTGAGTTTCGTCGGAACCATTCTAGCAATGTTTTGAACAGTAATTGTTGCAATCGATGGAGGTACATTGGTAGAAATCTCACCAAGAGGAGTAGGACCAGAAGATGTAGCTGGAGGAGAAGAATCAGAAGAGGGCTGATTAGGCGTCATAGCTGTTGCAGAAAGATTGCTCGAAAGAGAAGAAAAATCTGTTTAGGAGATCAGAAAAGTCAAGAACTTAGGTAAGATCTGTTTGGGAGATCAGAAAATTCAAGAAATTAAGAAAAGGAAGGAGGCGAAGGATCGACGTCGGTGGACTCCGGCGAAGATACCATGTTGAAGTTATGAATCTGTGCAGTTGATGAGAAAGAGAAATAGAGAGAGAGAGAGAGAGAGAGAGAGAGAGAGAGAGAGAGATTGATTCAGATTGTAAGAAAAATGATTCTCATTCATTGTGATTGCAGATTACACAAGGATATATACATCAATAAAAATATCTTACTCAATGTTGAGTCAGCAATACATAACCGACTATATCAACCTTAGCTTAATAGCTAAGTTAAGTACTAATCTAGTGCCTTATGCTCATTACAATCTGGTGGTCCTTCACTATCCTTAATATCTTCAGGTTCTTCAGGTTCAACATCAAGTCAGCTGGTTGAGATCTCCTCTCTTTTGTTTCACCATTTTTGTCAAGTGTAAAATATTAGCTCCCCAAATGCAAAAGCTGAATTTATCCTTCTCAGGCAGCCCATTTAAACCTTGGCAGTCGCTTCATGCTAGCCCTGCCAGGCTCTCAATACTAAGGCCGATTTTTGTCCATGTCGTATCACTCTATGAGGTTGTCCTCCATAATTTCACTTCAGACCCAAAACCAGCAAATTTGAGGTCAGACTCTCTGTATATTGATGATACAATATTATATGGCCTGAAGTTCACACATGCCACTCATTTTATCATTGACACATAATATAACAATAACAGTTTGAAAATTCTTCTTCCAAACTAGACCTAGTCTATAGGCACATAAGTCCCTAAAGATGTCTTTAATAGTTCCCAACAAAAACTGTTGCGAGTAATGTTGTTACAGGAACTCTCACATGTCTTAAGTATAATTGGCTCGCGATGTACTTTCTAACGTGACATTCTAAAAGCTGCTTGAGAGACGTTCTCCACCAGTAAAAAAAAAATGTTTTATTCTTATTTTTTTATAGCAAGCTAATATTCTCCTGTTAATTCACATCGAGCTGGATTAAATTAGAGACCTTAGTATACTATTAGTAGTACGGACTAGGAGACTACAACAAACCAAAAGAACTCTGGCAGCCGTCGGTTCCATTTGTGTATATTTTAAGGGTTTAATCTATAGTTTTACATAGACCATTAGTAATTTAGTACTTTCTACTTGACCTGCTACTCCAGGATGCTAGGGGCAATGCCGAGTCACATAAATAATAATTAATATATAGCTCTCTACAAGTTGTACTAAATTGTTGGCTATCTTGGTAGGAACAAAGAACCATGGTTGCACCCCGTTAGCAGGCCCAAAATTGAAAGGGGCACCAAAAACCCAGCCTACCTTCTTCCCCAAACGGGCCAAACCCCAAGCCATTCCTTCTTCCCAAAACCCAACCTTCCTTCTTCCCCGAACCCAGCTTTCCTTCATCCTCAAACCCTAACTTCAACGATTTCTTTATCTAATTAATTTAGAGAATTAATTAGAGAAAAAGGATGATCCTCAAACGCAGCCTTCCTTCTTCCCCCATGGCTGCAGTATCATTGTATAATTTCTGCGTTTGCCATTGCAATCTCTCTCTCTCATTGAAACTGGGCCGCACGATTTGCAGACCTCTCATCACAGCCATTGAAGCCGGCGACTTCTGCGACGATGACCTCCATCACCTCCGTCGAGTTGAATTTCCTAGTCTTTCGTTACCTTCGGGAATCAGGTATGCTTCACTTTGCAAACGACTTTTCGAATTTATTTCCCTAATTTTCTGTTCCTGTTTTTAATTAATTGTATTGTCATCCTAGGGTTTCTGGGAATTTGGGTGTGCTGTACAGATTATAAGGACTAAATTAGGTAAAGTCGGAATTTTTATTATCCTATACAATTCAACATTCTGTTTGGTTCCTGAGAAAACAAAAAAAGTTAAGCAAAATCGAAAGCTCCAAAACAATGTAAAAAATTTCAACAAATCCAGTAGCTTCACTTACAACAAGGACCACAACATTTCTCGTAATTTTCTCGCATTTTCCTCCAGCTTCGAGTGATTCCAGCCCTCGTTAAATTTTTTCTTTAAACGTTTCCGTATTAAAAAAATGGGAAGCCCACTGTGTTTAATTTAACTTACTCCTGGATCGATGAACAATGGAACAAGACAGAAATCTTACAACTCATGATGTGGTTATGTTTGAACATTGACACCTTGCAAGTCTATCTAATTTTTTTTATCAATGATTGAGCTGTTCAAAATGACCTTTCGGGATTTTATTATTTCTCTAGTACCAGGCTGAAGACTGAGAGTATAAAGAAATGTTTTATTCGGATACTTCTTATATCGTCAATTAATTTTATAATAAAACTTCAATTTTCATTATGAAGATTGAGAATATAAAGAAATGTTTTACTCAGATGCTTCTTATATCGTTAATTGATTTTATAATAAAACTTCAATTTTCATCATGATATCAAAGTAGGTTAGATATTCATGTTTAAACGCAACAGCAGACGTATTCCTGGTCGTCCAGTTACGGGCCCGCCAGCATTTGTTCTGAAATGGTTGATATGTGCACGTATATTCCGCTGAGAGTCAAAAGTTTTAAGGTGCAAAAAGTCATGGATCATGGAATAGCTTTTGAAATTTGAGTGAGAATGGGAATCCGGCAATGGAGTTCCATGCAATATAATATTCTTCAATAGAGAACTTTGTCTTTGTAGTACGAGTCATCCATTGATTTTCATTGATCGTTTACTTGTAATTAATTATCTAAAAAACTAGATTTGTCGGATAAAATCTTTCATGCACTAATTTAAATGTCACGAACGTAACACGTTCTTAATCATGTGCTACTCATATAGTATAGTAAATATAAAACACTCATCTCATGTAACAAATGTATGAAAGTTTTTCTACGGAAAAAAATTTAGGAAAACTAACGAAAAGTCCAAAAAAAACTTCTATTTTAATAAAAAAAAACATTTTTTAAAAGTATAGTTAATAGTATCAGGAAAATGTATAAATATGAATTTTCGTTAAAAGTGAACAGTACCGGAAATGTTCGTTAAAACTCTCAAAAAATTTATAATAACAGTGGGGACAAACTTTTCTTAAACAAACAATTGATATCGAACTATGGGCGAAGTATTTTTAGGGAATACAGTTTGCTTGTACTTACTTTGTCAAACTTTCCTGACTGTCATTAGCTTATCTTTTTCCCCTACGATTGCTCTTCAGAATCAATGGCTTTGTTTGAATTTTGATTCATTCAACTTCATGGGTCACATGTGCAGCTCGTATGTAGATGTCAAAAATTTCAAAACCATGACCATGACAGCTTTGATACATAAATTTGCACATCTTCTCACCCCTTTAGGCTTTATCCCATATTCTTCATATATTCAAATCCAAAAAAGTAATGCTATACTAGTGGATGGCTGTAGTGCTTACTGCATTAGGGAAGGTAGGGTTAATGATACTTAATTCTCTTTGGTTGAGGTTTTTTTTTTTAAGAATTCCTCGTTCACAAAATTTTAAAATGCTACGCTTTTGAATTGACCTAATTAAATAGAGATAAAAGATATAACTTCATAAATTTACTCAATAGTCATTATCAACATACCGTGCGAATAACTAACATTAATATAAAAATATTTAGTAAATGTTATGTGCATACGTGAGAACAACTGATGTCGTAGTTGTATATGGACTCATTCCCCCCTAAAAGCCAAATGAAAAAGACAATGCAATTTGAATATAGTTTTTCATCTTAAAACATTATGCCATCTCATAATTAAATACATTAAACAAAGTTCTAATTTCTAGTTTTACATTTTACATATTACCTTACTAAATTAAGAGATTGAGTACCAAGCCACCAAATTGGTCACCGCCAAAAATTTACACTTGAATTTCGATGAATATAGAATTGACAAATGAACCCTACTACAAACCCAAACACGGCAAACCTTTCGATCCTAATCTATGATTGTACAAAATCACACCATGAAATGTGGTAAAAACAAAATGAAAACACAAGCTAGGCTACAAGCCAACACAATTCCTTGAAGTGGTGATTCCACCATCCACAACCAAGTTATGACCACTGACATACTTGGATTCATCACTAGCAAGATAAAGAGCAGCCTCAGCTATGTCTTTTGCCCTCAAAGTTTGACCTTTTAAATTTGCAAGCCCTCTCACAAACTCTTCCATTTTCTCCACTTCTTGCTCACAAGGCATCACTAAATCCATGCATTCCTCTGCATCTTCTTCATCACCACCACTCATCCTCCAAGCGTTGACCAGCATTGACGTGGCAACCCCAAACGGAGAAATGCAATTCACCCTAATTCCGTACCTTCCCAATTCACAAGCTGCGTTCTTTGTGAGCCCTACAATGGCATGCTTTGAAGCTGTGTAACCATGTGGCCCCAGCCCGCCTGTGACTCCGGCTACACTTGCGGTTGAAATTATGCACCCGCCGATTCCTCTAGCAACCATCACTCTTGCAGCATGCTTCATCCCCAATGCAGCTCCTCTAACATTCACCCGCATTACGCTATCAAATTCATCGACATCGAAGTTCATGATGCTCTTGTGTTTCGACTGGTTTCCGAGGACCCCGGCATTGTTGAACATAATGTCCAGTTGCCCGTAACGGGTGATTGTTGATTCAATTAGGTTTTCCATGTCTTCTTCCAAGCTAACATCACAGTGAACATATGTAACTGAAGGGCTCAGGGAATTTGCTAGGGCTGTGCCAACTGCATCCTCCACGTCAGCAATGACCACTTTGGCGCCATGCCTTGCAAAAAGCTTCACTGTTGCTTCTCCAATGCCTCTAGCACCACCTGTCACTATAGCAACTTTTCCATCCAACCTGAGAAATTGAAATTAATATCGCTTAGTTCTCTATTTTATTTATATAAAAAGTAAATTAACAATGAATAAAATTGTTTTCTTTTCAATTTGGCACTCTTCCCATGCAAAATATTGGATTAAAATGTTCTGAAAGTATGTGCATTTTGGGCATCTTTTAGTAACAATTAAGAAAATGAATCGAGGAGAAAGTGCCTTTTAGGAAGAGGAGTAGTAGTAATGTTGTCCCTTCCCAATCCATGAATTCCATGAAGGGCTTTTTCTGGCATAACTTGGGCAGGCATGGTTGGCAACTAACTCTATAAACACGGGGAGAGAGAGAGAGAGAGAGAGAGAGAGAGAGAGATGCTTAACAAGAGAGGGCTGTTTGTGAAGAAAGAAACAAACATATGCATGTGGTGTTCAGTGAAGAAAGAATGGGTTTTATAGGCAGTAGAGACATACATATGCATGAGGGTGAGTGGGTTCCAAGAGAGGTCTGTTTGTGTTATTTCAAGGTAACTTCCTTAGAAATATGCACCTCACTTTTGTACATCTATTCCTTGCCCGTGGTAGCAGATCTGTATGAATTAAGAAACATTTATCTCAACAAATAAATATTACAACTAGCTAATTATTACTAGTTAAGCTGCCAATTATAATGGCAAAGCATACACTATAGTAATGAAATAATCTTTTGTGTCTTTTCTTGTACATAGCCAAATTTTTTAGGTCGAATTAGTGATATTTTTCTTCCTAATGTTGGAAGAGATCTCAAGTTCGAATCTTCATCCCAATTCAGATTTGTTTAATTTGACTGAATACAAAGGCCATAAAAAGGGCTAAGGAATGAAGTCACATTACAGGATGTGAGAGGCGCCATAAATCTCACAAGTCCAATAATCTAGACTCAATTTAGATATTGTTATGAGAAGTTAATGATTTTTTCTTCTTATACATTGTTAATTTTGTGATGCAAAACAAACCAGCTATCGTTTGTTCAAAATGTCAAACAGCTAATAGTGCTCGTTAGGTGAATCTGCAGCTGCATGTCTGCTATTTTAAATATAAAATTTCAAACTCCATTCTGAATGAAAAATTCTGGTCCCAGTTACATATAATTATGTTATAATTTTCTGCCTTGTGGAATTGAAAGCAAGAAAGTGCCTGCTGAAAGAAGAAAACATCGCATTGAAGAAGAACCAGAGCAGGTGAAGAACTGGGGAATTTGTTTATAGCTTCAGCTGGCAGATGAGATACAACGAGGCCCCAGCTGTGCTGGCGTGTGATTAATTAGTAGTTACGACTGATAAGATGCCTACTAAATGGGAGAAAATGAAGATTAAAGCCTAATAAATTAAACTTAAACGCAGAACTGTATAAGATATCCTGATTGAAGTAACAAGATTTAGATTCTAGTTTAGCCAATATTAATGGTTCTGTGTACGCAAAAGGACAGTAAATTATGTTAAATTAAAACCGAGAAGATTTCATGATTTAAGTAATAAGATTTAGATTCTACCGGTACCAGAGTCGACCACTCAACAATTTTTTCAGGCTATTTTCGACCCTTTGATTCTCTGGACCCTTAGGTTGGAAATGGTCTAATTGGTATTTTTATGAAAAAGCCATGCCATACAGACTGTACTCTAGGCTTTTTAACTTTTAGTCCTTGGAATATTTGAAAATATAATGACGTACGTGTAATGTAGCTACCAAAATTTGCAAGTTTTAACAAGAGAAGAGAACCAATAAGCTCCTCTTTCGGTTTGGGTGCCTAATCTGATCCATTTTTTTACGTCCAAGTGCTTTCCTCGCTTCCATTAGAAAATGGGGTATTTAATCCAACAACCCCAAATACTATATTATTTGAAAAGTGGTGGCCACGATGACATTTTGTAACCACGGAAGAGGCCTCAAGTTTATGACCAAAGACTGCAGCTAGCTTTTTTCAAGGTAGAAGTCATCAATTTTGACCAGAAAGAAAAAAAAACAAAAGTGATCAACTAAATTAGTATTTAATTAATTTGGATAAATTAACCTTAATTATGTCCGTGTACGTATGTTGCATATCATTGTTTACGTAAACTTAAATATATAGATCCGGGTCCAATTGCAGGTCTGACTGATGGCTTCTATGCTACCTAGTCAGTAAGTAGTCACCATACCATATCGAGATGCATGAGATTTTGGATCAATTCAAGACAACTTGAAGTCAAACGTTAGAAATTGAAAAAATGAAAAATACTTCCGTTGAAATTGGTTTGAATTCGCATGTTTGACTTGAATTTAAAGAGGTGATTATTGATCGATTACGTAATTCAATAATTGTCAATACTGTAACGTAGAAGTATGTCAAAACAGTAATAAGTCTATC